GACCTGATAATTTATTCAAACTCATTTCAGCACCATTGTCTTCTGGACCTGCTAGTCCCTCATCAGCCATTGGAGAGCAGGAATCTGCATCAAGAGTGGGGAACACTCTTCTATTGGCCGGCGGGTGCTGCAATCCCGCCTCTTCAGGAAACCCTTCTTGACATCATCAAAGGCCAGCCAATCACAGCAAAGCCAGGTCCAGCTGGGCAGGAGCAGGACTTTCAAAGGGTTACAGTGCATAAAACTGTCTGTTTTGCAATATATGGTATCTCAGCTTAGTTTGGCGAATAACTGCGGACTGGCATCACTTCAGCTGACTTAATAAACTACCTCGGTGGCTTCTTTTTCAACTCGGTGAGCTGTATTTGGGAACACTGGGCTTCTTTGCTCACTAGGCGCATGGACCTACAGGGTGGCCTGTCACCGGTACCAGTATTGGGTCTCAGCATCTGCGCTTCAGGTTCTGCTATCCATGGCTCAGATCTCACTATCCACTGAAATTTTAAAGTGCTCTATTTCAAACATGCCTAATTTGATCTGATTTTAAAAGATCTGACACAGGAGCAGGGAATTTTGTTAATGGCTATATGCACATTTAAAAATAATACTGGTATGAAAAATAATATTGTTTCTGACTTATGGAGATCCTAATGCATTTTGAGACTAAGAATGTTTACATTTCAGTGGTCAAGCAAGGAGTTGAACCCTGGCCTCCAGAATTATAATCCAGTGCTGAGACCACTGCATCAAAATAAGCCAGTTCAGATTTCAGTATTTTTTTTTCTTACATTGGGCAGTTACCTATCAGCTGAATTAGAAATAATTTTAATCAGGGTACACGCTATGATAACAAAACTGATACAGCAGAATTGAGATTGCAGCTCAATTTTTTGTTTACATGTTTTTCTTAAGGGTGTTAGCAGTTTCAGGCCCTAGTATCACTTCCTCCATTTGGAAAACACCTTTCAGGAATAAATAGATAATCACTGCTCCTCCCACATTTCGAATACTTAGAAGAATTCTTCCATCCACGTCACATCCCAGCTTTAGCAACTGCTATATTTCGAAAAGGCCTCCATATCCTGTGGAAGTTTGGGTTCACATTCTCCTCCTCTTTATTTGTTTTAGGCAGCTAACAATAAAATCGGTTAAATCTATTTGAAATTTAAGAAATGAAATTATTGAGACAATCTATTGAATAACACTATACAACATGATGAAGCCCTGGTGGCACAGTGGGTTAAACTGCTGAGCTGCTGAACTTGCTGACCGAAAGGTCAGCGGTTTGAATCCGGGGAGTGGTGTGAGTTCCCACTGTCAGCCCCAGTTTCTGCCAACCTAGCAGTTTGAAAACATGCAAATGTGAGTAGATCAAGAGGTTCTGTTTCTGCTGGAAGGTAACGGTGCTCCATGCAGTTATGCTGGGCACATGACCTTGGAGGTGTCTATGGACAACGCCGGTTCTTTCGCTTAGAAATGGAGATGAACACCAACCCTCAGAGTCAGACATGACTAGACTTAATGTCAGTGGGAAACCTTTACCTTTATCTATGCAACACCATTTTTGTCTTGGGTTATACATGTCATTTTCCAATTGGTTCTATTATGAAAAAAATAGAAAAGGTTTATTAAACGGCAAAAACTTTGTTTTTGCGGGACATCCTGCAGAACATTTTGCTGTAGTTTTTCAATGAAAATCTCATACATTATACAATTAATGGAGTCCGACATTTAAACTGCCATTGTTCAGTGCTACAGAATCCTGGGACTTGTAGGTTGGTGGGGCGCAGGGCTCTTTGGCAGAAAATGACTTGTATAACCACAACCCGCATGATTTGAGAGCATTGAACCATGACAGGTAAAGTGGTGTCAAATTGCATTCATTCCAAAATATAGAGGTGCTCACTTGCTGGAACTCTAAAGGTAACTGATATGCAACAAAATAAATTCAATAATGGTGATAGAGGAGGAGAGGCTTCCAAGATAAGCGGAAACAGAATGGATCCCAATTTGAGTCTGGTATGTTTACAGTCATTTGTTTATTACCTAGATTTTCAAAGGGATAAAGAATATTAGTGTGAGCTCATTCAGGAAGGAGTTCAAATATCTGCCAGGACAACTATGGACACAAAGAATGCCCATCCCACACAAAAGCAATGACCTCTTCTTTGAACCATCTTTAGGAAATAATATTTCCTTATACACCCAGAAACTGACTCAGTTATTGCAAATGTGATGCTATAAACTTGTGGACTCATTTGTATTGAAAAGGTTCTGCTTTCACTAGCCACATTTGGAAAACAAATAATACAATAAATAGATGATTATGAGAAGCAAAGTACTGTTAGATTTCCTAGATAAATGCTTCTAAGATTCATGCTTCTAAGTTAATTCATGATCAAACTTGGTCAGAGTCATGAAACAAGAATATCGGAGTCTCTTGAATCCAATTAGCCAAGCATTTGTTTTCATTTTAAGAAGTTGACCCATCTCTGAAGTTCAGCCTGATAGGAGCCGCAGTGGTGCAATGGGTTAAACCCTTGTGCCAGCTGAACTGTTGACCTGAAGGTCAGGAGTTTGAATCTGTGAGACAAGGTGAGCTCCCATCTGTCAGTTCTAGCTTCACATGTGGGGACATGAGAGAAGCCTCCCACGGGATGGTAAAACACCTGGGCATCCCCTGGGCAATATCCCTGCAGACAGCTAATTCTCTCATATCAGAAGTGACTTGCAGTTTCTCAAGTTGTTTCCAACATGAAAAAAAAAGTCTAGCAGGGTTTTTTTGTGCAACATTAACCATAGATGGCCCAATCTGTGAAGGCTGCTGTAGTTGCACAACTGGAAGAAAGCAGCAAATTGTGAAAATATACTTTCGCAATTTGCTGCTTCACAAAACTAGGATATCCCATTTAAACTGAATCAGGAAGTCAGTTAAATAGAACCAGTTAGCTATGGAGTGCCTGAACAAGCACCCTTGAAACTGGTTGGAGGCTAGTACTATGGCCACAAAGATCTGTGGATCTGAATACAGGGGGAAAAAAATTAATTTCCTCATACAAAGGGATGAGCTAATGGGCATTGGCATTTCCATTAGGGATCAGCTGTATACCAAGGTAGGGCACAGCAACTGGAAAAAGGGTTCAGAAAGCTATGAGAATATGGTGATTTCCTTTCCGGGGTGGGGAGGGGAACGTCTTTACCTTCTAGATCAAGCCATGTTCATTCTTTTTTTAGTAATAGAAGTTTATTCATCAAGAGTCTGAAGAGATTACATAGACCTTCTTTTCATGGGTGTCTTTCAATAGTCTTTTGTTGCAAAGCACATCAATCAAATAATGCATGTTTAGGGCACATTGTGTTGCAAATCATGTTTGAAGACAAGTGGAAACCATTTATGTATTCATGCTTCAGCTTTACAAAAATTGGTGTCTACTACAGTTTAGTGCCAAAATATAACTTTTGTGAAGGGAAAGCTATGAATTATTTTGCCTCTCCACAGACTTCATTTGTTGGTCATCTCACCCAGGGAGTTGAAAGGTAATGGAATCTGACATGTCTAAACTATTTTGAAAAGTGATACCACCTTTAACTCAATAACAAGGTGATTCTAGGGTTGTCATAGGTCAGAAATGACTTAAAATACAACAAAGCAATCTTTTTGCATTTCTATGTATGCATTGTGTTTGACAGTGCCAGCCATTTCCAGGAAAGACATATCCTTAAGGAAAAGGCTTACGAACAAGTCAACAGCCATGTTTAGGTGTGTGTAACTGGCCTGGCAGAAGTGCAGATGTGTAACTGGTTTGGCAATCTACTAAATGGTGTAAACTGTGGTGTAGGGAGAAAAGTGAGGATGAGGTGTCCTGAAAACATGTGGGAGGATCCAGTCCTTGATCCAAATCCTAATATTGGCCATTTAATGATGGCTAGAGTACATACTCATAGGAAGCAACAAGCCTTCTCACCACCACAGAGGGAATTAAAAGCTACACTCCCACCATCATCCTTGATGTACAGTGCAATTGCTTCTTTGTTGAAAAACCACATCTGCATATAATTGTGCCCACAAGCTAAGGTCATAACTAAATGGAATATGCTGTCTTAAGAGTGTGATGATTTTCTTATTTGGAAATATTTAAACAGAGGCTGGAATGGCCATTGGTCAAGAGTGCTGTCCTGAATTGGGTTGAATGGCCCTGATGGTCTCTTTCAACTTGAGGATAAGTGATGAAGAAAGCCAACTGCTTCATTCTGGTGGCACACAGTAGTTGTGATCATGAATTTAGGGTTGAATCTTGACCTCGCCTTGTAAAGTCCTCCATGCAAAAACTGAAAACACACTGCTTCTGCTCAAAGATGGAGGACCAGAGTTTGCATTTTGCACCGAAAGTTGAATAGTGGGTTTGGCCTGATGTTTTCAACAAACTGGTTTAAGGACCCCCCCCCCCCCCCCCCCCACACACTCACACACACAAATTATGTTTTGGGCACATTCTTAAATTGGTCCCCTGGTGACACAGCGGGTTAAACTGCTGAGCTGCTGAACTTGCTGACCGAAAGGTTGGTGGTTCAAATCCAGGGAGCAGGTTGAGCTCCCACTGTTAGACCCAACTTCTGCCAAACTAGCAGTTCGAAAACATGCAAATGTGAGTAGATCAATAGGTAGCATTTATGCGGGAAGGTAACAACGCTCCATGCAGTCATGCTGGCCACATGACCTAGGAGGTGTCTATGGACAATGCCAACTCTTTGGCTTAGAAATGGAGATGAGCACCAACCCCCAGGGTCGGACATAACTAGACTCAATGTCACTTTACCTTTATGTCCTTAAATGCACAAGCCACGAGGGTCAGTCCAATATTTCCTTTATATATTTCAATTCCCACAAAGAAAAATAATGCTGCTGCTTCTTTTTTAGGTTTACATTTTATTGAAAAAAATGTTAAAATAAATTACATTGTACAAAGTTTAATATTTACATACAGTGATTCCAGTGAAACAAAAGAACAGATCAAAACAAAACATATTTGTTCATGTGATGGAGTGACAAAGGCAAGATTGTAGGGACTCTACATACTTCAAGGAACATGTGAACAATAAGGCCCCTCTTCTAAAAATTTAGTGCAGCTTAGAGGGCATGAAAACAGGGCAAACTGTTACATAACTTTTAAGACCAGGCAGCTATAGCTGTTGTGCTTTCATTTTCACAAAAGATGCTAAGAGTATTTTTGCCTGTACCATTGCACTAAATTATATGGATGACTCAGGCCACATTCAGAATAGCAAGACACCAGTATGTGATGTTTTGATCTTATGTTTTGGTACACCCACCATCAGCAAAGCAATGGAGTTGATCATGCCTTTACAGTGAAAAAAGACTTTTCAAAATGTTGTTTAATAGATTCAGACTGCTGTATTGTATTCATGGCTCTTAGTGGCCGGCTTTAAAAGAAAAGCTGGAATGATATGCTGCATTTACATCAACTTATAACAGAACTGCATTGTCTCTGGCTCAGTTTTGTACCGAATATAAATGGAAACCTGGCAGCAAGATAACATGTGGATAGTGAGATATTTCTATGTTTTAGAGATCAAACCTCTACCAGTTCAACATGTTACTGTGAGACTGTTAAATAGACAATCTCAGCTCCTGGAGTGGTCTCGTGTTTGGCTAAATCCAATCATGGGAAAATTACATACTCTGTTGAATAACAGAAAGGAAGCTACTTGAATCTTTGGGTCCATATTTGGAGCTATATCCTCCCCTATTTACAGGATACTAGGTTGCTCTGATTTAACTAATAGTAGTTGGGCTGATGGATGGGAGGTTGGGGGGGTGGGCAGGGAGAGGGAAAGCAGCACTGCTTGGGTTTCTTAGTCTACATCTTAGTTGAGACTGATGGAAAGTCTGGTATTTTTGAAAGGTAGCAGCCATCATTTTAAAGTTTAAATCCCTTCTGTAAGTACCTAAATTATACACACAAACACAGACAAGATATGGTTACTCCATTAAATCCTAACCTTTTAATCCAAAACCAAACTGGTAAAAAAACTTTACATTTCAATTGTTTCACATTGTGCATATCTTTCAAAAGACAAATGTGAAATCAAATCAGTTAAATCACTTCAAATAGTCCTCTCCAGGAATTAAGGATTGTGATATCCTATCTAAAGGCCAGAAGTTGACTTAGACTAAAGACTGAGTCTCCCCTTAAGACAAGGAAGACATTATTTCTGATCAGCATAGTGCTAAGGCAGATCAGTTCTCTGATAAACCCATATTGTGTCTCCTTTTTAATGAAGTGAGCAGGCCACTTTTAATTAAAAATACAACTGATATTTCAGCCATTTACAGTCACGTAATATAACTAATTCAAAATTAAGGTGATCAGTGATCCAATGCTTGTAGCACATCTTTACTGATATGACTTGGAGTTTTTTCAAAGGACAGGGTAAAACAATGAAGCCAAACAACTTCATGGGTTGTGCTTACATATATCAAATTTGGCCTTAGTTAACCTTTAGAAATGTTTAAGTTTCTGATACGTAGGAAGATACACCCGAAGTCTGATGTGTAAAAAATAGCACCAAACTGAATTGCCATATCAACTACCCTCATACGTAAATGCAAAAGAGAGTCTTTAGTAGGAAAGGGCCTCAACTTCAAGCTTGAATCACTTTTTGCCTGCTTCCCTTTGCAGTTCTTCACATGGACCATACAATGTAACAATCACATCGAAAAGAAGCAACATTGTAAAATAATAATCACACATACACTCTTTCTGTTCTGTATTGTGTTTGAAACATTCAAGGAATTAAACATTCATTATGTACACCATTCTGTACTTCATTTTTAGTGCAGATAGAAATGTTTTAAACCATTCATTCATGGAAGACACACTACAATGGAATGCCAGCTTTATAGAATGATGTTAACAAAAGCCATGTTTGTTTTTGCAACAAAAACAAGACTCTGCTCTGTTCCCAGTTGGTCCATCTGCCATGAAATATATCTTTCAGCTGTAGCATAACAGTTGCTTTTTAGTTATAGTTGTAACTGACGTGACAGCAAGATATCAATTTTGAGTTCAAATTATACAATGTCAATTTTGATGTCAAAAGTTGTCTTACAGAAGGAAAAAATGAGTCAAGAACTAGTTTTGCTCTTTATATATATATAACAGGCACCAAGAACAAGGCACCCTTAGGACTAGAACTTGGCCATGGCTAAAATCATACCACATAATTACATGCTAATAGTGGGAAATCCAGTGGAATAACTTCACATCTAGAAAGCTACAACAGAACTGTTTGACTTCCTTTTTAATTGGATTTCATTGTAACCTTATGGGCACATACAGTGCAAATTTCCTGTAGAAATGAATGGAGACCACCTTTTGTAATAAATGTCTTCAAGCTACTGTATTCTTCCAAGAAGAGTTTCTAAGAGGAGTGTATAGATTTTTACAGCTATTTTAATGATGGGAACAGTGTACTATCACTTCAATCACTCATTACTTCCATCACTCATTAATACAAACAGTTCTGTATTTCCCTAATCATTCAAGATTAGTATTGCAAAATTCCACATAGCCTTTTATACAATGTTAGATTCAGAAATCACCCCATTTCCAAGGCTTTTAGCACTTATAGCAGTGGATCTCAACCTATGGGTCCCCAGGCATTTTGGCCTATAACTCCCAGAAATCCCAGCCAGTTTACCAGCTGTTAGGATTTCTGGGAGTTGAAGGCCAAAACATCTGGGGACCCACAGGTTGAGAACCACCGACTTATAGGGTCTTTCAATTCTGGACTGAAACAACAGAAAGAACAACATACAATTAAAAATGAACATTGGAGTGACTTACAACTGGATCCCCAAACAATTGTTAAACTTAATACTCTTAACACCTTGCTTTTCACAATTCTGCTACAATAGCTTTAAAGGCACAGGTAATTTCTTTTTAGGAAAAAAGCAACCACAAAGTCAATTGGTCTTTTTGCCAGTGCAACTCTAAGTAACTGCTGAAGCCCCTTGCCATCATGGCTGTATTCTGATGTAGCTCTCATACCTTTGCCTTCATGTCTATGTGGCAGTTCAGCAAAACAAGCTGAAGTTCTCAGTTTATTTAGAAAACAGTTAAAATACCAACATTAGAAAAACCAGTTAAAATGCCTACATGAAAATATTTGTGCCATAACAAATATTACTTATTCAAAGTACCAACAGGAGTGGCAAATGGCAAACTTTTCTAGAAGCAGAGCCACTGACTATAACAAAGAACAAAGCAGCTCTAAGATCCTTTAGATGGAAATTAAGATAGTCATGCTGTTTTGCTATTTTAAATTACAGTGTCATTTAAAAAGAACATCACTTCATTTAGAGACAACTGTGCATGAAATTTATTCAAGTATTTCCTCTAGAACATGGACAGTGGAAGAGCACTTACGACACAAAACTCAAGTTTTGTTAGTGTGTTTTCTTCATTTTTAAACCAGTCTTCTAAAAACCATTTTGCACCCTTCTATGTTACAGAATCTTAGATGTGCTTTTCACAATCACCAGGAGGGATAAGTCACAAGTGCAATGCCTCCATAGCATCATCCCTGTACTGCAAGTTTTTGTTCATGATACTTCCACTCACAATAACATTGGGGTTAAAACAACTTGAGTAGATACTGTTCAAGTTCCCTAGACAACATATCTCAACTTTGATCTTCAGGACACTTAATTCTTCCATCCCAAACCAATCAAGTTAACTCTAGCAACACTTTCTCTTCTGCACCTAGGCTTGATTTGAAACCGGTTTTTCAGGTATGAAGAATTAGTGCAGCAACCAACCATGTTATGTAATCAACTCAATCCAAAATGACTGCCATCTTTGAATCACTCTTTCCTAAGAAAAGGAACAAATACTGAACAGGCCCAAGAATTCGAGTCTTTTCTTCCCAATTCCAAGAACCACCAACTCCCTAAAGTAACCCTCAGATTTTCAGAATTGTTCCTTCACAGTGAGTAAGCAAAACTGATTTTTTTTTTTTAAAAAAAGACATTTACTGATATCATCCAGGCAATGAATGTCTTCAGTTTCCATATGGAAGGCACTGGTGGAAAATGTCTTTTGTGATGCGCCGTTGTTGTGCTCATCTGTTCAAACATTTTCTCAAAATCATTAAATGATTTTATAGGAACCATTAGCAAAATGTATCCCCTCACGTTCCCGTATTTGCAGCATTCACTGTGTTGTATTCATTCATTAACTGTTCATAAGGCACAGATACTTCTAACTCATTACTGGTAAAGGTAGATTCATCAGAGGATGAAAATTTCATTAGTTTTTGTGGACTCTCTGGTTCCTCTGTCATGTTATCATCCATAGATGACTTGGAAGTTTCTTCATCATCTGAAATGTCCTCCTCCTCCTCTTCTTCATTTACAAATGTTATATTGGCATTTTCAAAGATCAGAGGTCGGCAGTCCCTGGAGTCCCATGCTTCTCCTTCTTCCTCACTTATCCGGTCCAACTGATTTACAAACACATTGCCTTCAACTGAGCCATCCCCACTACGTTTGTCAGTTAGATGCCTCATAACATGATAGTTTGGGAGCCCAAAAGAAATTTCATCATAGTCAAACAATTTGTTCTTTGTGTACATGACTTTGAAGTCTTTGTTGGAATGCTGCAGGTTTGGCTTGCCTTGTTCAGCATTCAGGATTTTGTCACTGCTTGATTTCAGTGCCTTCTTTCCAATCTGTTTTATGAGATCATTGTAAGTTTCTTCCTTCTTGGAAAGGAAGCTGAAAATGTTGATATCTTTAGGGTTAGATACTGGAAGGGATTTTTTGGTAGGAGGATGATTTTCAAAAGACTCCTTCCTTTTTTTCCTTCGTTTCTTGATGGCTTTATGAACCTCTACAAACATGCTGACTTTCCAGTTGACAAAGAGAGAAAGCCAAGCCAGACCCAGGTAGATCCATAGCTCTACAAAATATCTGTAGAGGGAATGGTAACTTATGTTTGGATTCACACCTAAAAGAAGAAAAACATAAAACAAATTATAGAACTATGTTTGGATATGCATGTAGGCAAAACTATTTAAAAGTTGGGTTGTTGTAAGTTTTTTGAGCTGTATGGCTATGTTCCATACAGCTCAAAACTTACAGCAACCCAGTAATTCCAGCCATGAAAGCCTTCAACAACACATTGTTTAAAAGTTTATCAATTCAGCATTTTCATGTAGATCTGATAAGGTCATAAATCATGATTGAGGTCAGTCTTACAAAAGATTTTGGTGAATTTCTGTAAAATCTAATCTGTAGCACTTTTCATAATTCCAAAAAGCAAATATTGAGGCAGGCATAGCATATTTAAATGCAGGACTGAAGATCAGGTACAAGTCAGTACAATTTTTTTTAAAGGCATGCTAAGCATTGAGAATTCATTTACCACAGTGCGCTTACAGATACATTTTCAGATGCTGAACATCAAACAGAGAGATAACAATTTTTTTAGAACTTTGAAAAAAAACAACTGAACTATTTGATTGACTTACAAATGCTCTCTGTTAAATGATATGGTACTGGGCCACATTAATTACTGAAATAACATCAATTATTATTAACAATGTGAAGTAGCATCTGATTTGTCTCTATTCCTCCTTTCCATCACAGAGAGCAATATGTGAGGAAATAACAATTGCGGACTCTTCTAGCATGTCCTATTTATATTAAATAACATATCCATGGAATTGTTTTGTTTAGAACTGAAGAAAAACTTGCAGCAAAGTTCTAACCCTGGTTGCTGTAAAGATGAGAAAGTCCTCACTGACCTGCAACATAGTCTCCAAATCCAATGGTGGTAATGGTGATGAATGAGAAGTAAAGACCTTCAATATAATCCCAGCCTTCAGTTACCATAAAAACAAAAGGAGGAATGACTAGGTGAACCAGGACTCCCCAGATGATGAAAATAGCTGTGCATGTAATTTGTGCCTTTCTCTGTAATGAATGAAAGGGAGAGCAATAAGTCATACAGTATCTTTTAATGCAATTTCATAGGATATTTCTTTAGAAAATAGCACAACATGCAGCCTAGCTGAATGAAAGAAATGGGTAAAGTAGAGGTTTGATAGATTTGGCAGTTGCTAACTATTTCGGGGGGGGGGGGGGGCTTTTTTCATACAATGCTGAAGAGTTCCTCATTTACCTGTACTTAGCATTAAATCAATTAGCATTCCTTGAGTAAATGTTACTATATTAGTTTTGCTTGATGAAACATTTGAAATGCAATATCAACTCCACCAAATGTAACTGTAACTTCCTGACTGTGAGAGCTGTTCAGCAGTGGAACTCTCTGCCCTGGAGTGTGGTGGAGGCTCCTTCTTTGGAGGCTTTTAAACAAAGGCTGGATGGCCACCTGTCAGGGGTGTTTTGAATGCAATATTCCTGCTTCTTGGCAGAGGGTTGGACTGGATGGCCCATGAGGTCTCTTCCAACTCTATGATTCTATGATTTTATGATTTAGGCCAGTGATTGCCAACCAGTGGTCTGTAGACCACCAGTGGTCCTCAAGATTGAAAATATGGTCCGTGGCCTCACCTTACTACACCATTGCCTTGAAACCACACGGCAAAACCCTCTTCTAGTGCCGAAGTGACAGGGATGTCATGAGGGGAGAGGCTGACAACCCATGAAAGATTACTACTACCACATCAGATTTAGATTATTAAATATGGTTTTCTGTGGGCAAGCAGATGGCGACTACCAGATGGCATATGTTCTGTATCACAAACTAGAGCTGATATGGTTTAGCCAATGCGGTTTTCTGAATCAGCACCCCAAATAACCAAACCAAATCTAAAGTTGGCCCAAAACTGATTTGTAACCTTTTTGGTACTAATGTTGGAGAGTGGTCCCTGGTCAAAGTGTCCCTGTTCAAGTGGCCCCTAGTCAAAAGAAAAGTATGGGAACCACTCTTTAGGCTATTGGACCACCTTTAAAAATATGTTTCATATAAAATTATACTGTTAATAATTCAGATGTGTTTAAAAAAGGCCGCTGAGTTACATTTCAAGTTCTGAAGAAGTTGCTTGGGGTTTAAAAGGTCACAGAGTCAATGCATCCTGTGTTATAACGGTTAAGCAAAAATGCATTACATACCAGGCTTACTCCTCTTTTTGTCAAGAACTGTCCCAGCCTTTTGGCACGTCCACCAAAAAACTTCCCCAAAGCACTGATCCATGTTAAACAAAGAGGAACACCAAAGAGTCCATAAAATATACAGAAAAGCCGTCCAGCTGAAGTTTTTGGTGCAACATTTCCATACCCTGAAAAAATGAGGACAGCATTGCATTAAAAGCAAGCTACACTAATTTCAAATTAAAACCATTGCATAGATTATCCTATTTTATCCGAACTTGTTTAAACTTTGAAAATGACTTCATTTGATAGTTGTGTCAAGTTTGTGTAACATATAACAGTTCATCATAATATTACAGTAAACAGGAACACATGGACACTTGTAACAGCAGGGTGACCAAGTCTAATGATTACACAACTGCAGTGCTCATGACAGAATTCTGTATCTTAAATACTTCTACTTGAAAATTCAAGGCTAATTGAGTTTCAAGTCCTTGAAAATGTTTGGACAAATTCTTAGTGAAATATTTAGAAACCAACTTATAATTGTGTGCTTGTATGATGTTGAGATCTCCTGTTCCCACCACTTTCTTGTTGACTGCCTTCAAATAGATGATGCATGATAAACCTCCAGATCTTCAGCATCCCTGCTCAGGTTTTGCAGACTTATGGCTGGTGTTTTCCTGATTATTATTCATCTGGAATATGGACTTCTTCTTTTTACCTACTGCCCTCTACGTTGCCAACCATTATTGTCTTTTCTAGTGAATAATCTATTCTCAAGATATGGCTAAAGTGTGACATCTTAGGGAAAATTCAGACTTGATTTGTCCCATTTATTGGCCTTTTCTGCTGTCTACAGTATCCATAGAACTCTTCTCCAGCACCATGTTTCAACTGCATTGATTTTCTCAGCTAGTGAAGGACAAACAAAACTAATGCCCTCTTAGTCTCTTGGTCTTTAGGAAGGATGATCCTGAAGATATCCTTTAAAAGTCCCTAGTGAGATGAGAGCCTTTAAATTAGCCAAAATATTTGTGTTTAAGACTGTATTTGTTAAGCTGTTTTTAGGAGATGGTTCGTTTTTTCTTCAGAATGTTTCTAATGTCAGAAACAAGTGGAACATGGTGATTTATTTAGTTTAGCGGAAAGTTTCCATCTCCTCTGGTCAGTCTGTTTTCTAACACTGTGTGGGCTTGATCTCAGAACAAACAACAAATAATATTTCTGATATTTCCCTGTGTCTCACAGAGATATGTTTTGGGACAAGATGAATACTTCTTCAAAACACAAAGCAGCACAAAATGGCATCTGCTCTAAAGATGTTTCAGCACCATTCTCTCTCTCCTAGTGTGAATTTGTGACATTCAAAAGAAAAAGAGAATGCACTGTTTTTGTACAGTAGTACTTCTGTCACACTCCAAGAGAAAACAGTTTTTTGCTGTAATAGTTTTAAAAAAGTATCATCATAAAACTCCTGCAAATCGTTGTTCATAACAATGAGTCTCAGGGAACAAAACTTCTACACTTTGAGCTCTAAATGTAATATTCACAATCCAAGAAGAGAATTGAGATCAAAGCCCAGTTAGCAGAGCTCTCAAATTGATCTCATGGCCTGAATAAGCGGCCATAAAAGTCTGAACATTCTCAATTAGCCACAGAAACAATCCTGGCTGGTGATTGTGAACCTGCCAAACCTGCGTAGTATTCCAGGAATGACTTCATTAAATGAAATTATACATAAAGGAACAGTCTCAAATTTTCATAGCTCACAAGGCATCACAGAACAGGTAGAACATGCCTAATGCCATTGTATCTTCCAATAATACACACACATTCTCGCTTTTCCCCCCTTTTTTTCTCATACTATTCAGCACTGTTTTATTTCTTTTTAAATCAAACAGACAAGATATGCCACAGTATATCACAGCAACAATAATTCGGAATAGGGTGAGGGTTCACTTTTGTTGGGAAACAGCAAAAATAGATAACTTAGGTGCTTTCTTGAATATATCCAGATGATATAACAACAACAACAACAACAACAATTTTATTTATAACCTGCCCTATCTCACTGAGCGAAATAACACAATAGCAAACATTCAATAAATCAAACCAATGAGTAAAACAGTCTCAAGAATTATAAAATAACAATTTAAGTAAATTAAAATAATGCATCACAAACATTTACTACATAACATTTTAAAAAACTATTAAAATTGGACTAAAATATTAATTTTAAAACTAGAAGCATACAGCTTCTAACAAGTGAAGGTAGGCGTCTAACATGCAGGTGAGGGTATATATAAAGATGTATTAATCTTCCTCTTCTCCATAAGCTAGAGAACATAGGTGGGTTTTAGAAGCTTTTGAAAGGAGAGGAGAGAGGGGGCTATTTTTAGTTCTTTAGGGAGGGAGTTCCAGAGGCCAGGAGTGATTATGGAGAAGACCCCCTCTCTCATTCCCACCAACCGCACTTGCAATGGGGGTGGGACTGAGAGCAGGCGCTTACTGGCCTGTATGCGGAGATGCTGTTTTTCAAATAATCTGTGCCCAAACCATTTATATCTCTCTATTCTTATGATCTCTCTGCTTTTATGTTGTTTTCTTCGGTCATCCATATTTTGAGAATTCACACTCTGAAAACCTTAAGATAACTTGAATGTCTTGTTTTTACTTATTTGTTAGTTATATATTACGTATCTTTCAAAATGTTGGTATTCAATATATCACATGTTTCAGAATTAAACAAATGACCTCAAAATTTATTGTATTCCATATTTTGGGAAGGGGAAAAAGTGACGACTTGACCAACTTAATACTCACCAATTGTTGTAATCACAGTAGCAGCAAAGATGACAGCATTAGGCCAGTTCCAGTAGTTGAATGTGTCATTGCCTTCAATAGAAACTCCTTGTCCAGCAGCTTCTGATACCACCTATAGAAAAAAAAGATAGGGGTTACTCAAAATGCAAGCCAATAGTATAGTACAACTATCAGACTTTTATATCATCATCCTGCCTCTTCCTTCCAAAATGAGAATTATTTTAATCAGTTCTCACAAAAATCATGATGAACATGTCAAGAGTAACTTACTTTTCATCTGGTAATAAATGTATTGACCCCCCCCCCAAAAAACCCCAATATTTTAATAATACTAAAGTATAATTGCTGTGGATTTTGGAAGCAAATGAAGAGATAGTAGTCAGACCATAGGAGCTGTCTTCCATATATAGATTGCTCTAACATAAAAAGACAGTGCAACTCTCAAATGAAAAAAGTGTTAAACTGTGTTGTTTCTGTCATTTAAAGCAACAACAACAACTCTGTTCTTGGTCCTAGCAAGGTCGGAATGTAAGAATGGCAAACAGAACTATTTTGGCAAAACTCTCCAAATAAAAACAGTACATGCTTGTATGCTTGCTGTGCTTGGACAAGCCTCCATGGGACTGGGCTTTGGAGTTTATTTTTCTTCATTTCCTAAATGAATTTCGGGCTATCATGGATAATTGCTGAGATTGGCCCTTGATTTTCAGAAAGGGCATTGAGTGCAAAGAAATCATTAAAAAAAACCCTCTAATGTAGTGTAAGGTCAATGGTGCAAGATAGATACAAGAGGTTCTTTTCTCTCAACCCCCCCCCCACCCCACCCTTTTAGGGTAGACCATTGATACTTCTGGGTGATAGGGTTTTGTACAGGCATTTGAACAGAAGTGACCCCCACTGAAATTAACTGGATCAATACAGTTGTTTAGTCTAGTACTGAGCAATACTTATGCAACCTTCCTATTGTGAATGAACATGCTCTAGTTTGGGTTTAGAGAGTAACACGCAATCCTCAAATGCTTGTATTGGAAGGTAAAGAGGCGAGAAGCATAAATCAGCACAGGGAGAGGAAGAGCCTATCATTTTAGTTCATATCCTGAGAAAGCTACAAGGCCAGCTCTTCTCACTGCTGTATCAACATTTCACAAGTTTACGCTCATAGTTGTCGCTATGCCAAAGCTGCACCTCCCTCTTGTCCCCATTAGCATGTTGCCTAGGATGAGTTACAGCCTGGCCTGACACCACTTTTATTCTTTTACTCATGTCTTTTGGCTGTAATAAATCTCAGCATGGAACCAAAGCTACAGAGTTTCTTTTAAAATACACTGTCTTGCCATAAAAAACCTGTGGGCACTTTTGGAAGCTGAAGAAGCATGGAACAGAGAATGCAAGGCCCTGTCACTTTCTAAAGAGGTGGTTTCTCAACCTGTGAGTCTCCAGATATTTTGGCCTACAACTCCCAGAAATCCCAGCCAGTTTACCAGCTGTTAGTATTTCTGGGAGTTGTAAGCCAAAATATCTGGGGACCCACAGGTTGAGGACCACTGTAAAGAGAGTCAAAATATCACCTGGATATCTAACATGTTTCTCCTTCAACATGTTTCGCTTTTTATGATCTAGAACCAACAATCCTCCCGCCATGCAATCATGTAGATTACAAATCTCAATGTCTTGCATATATTTTATATTTGCATATAACATATATTTTATCATTAAGTTATCTTTATTAAAAAGACTTTGTACTAGTCTATATTCCTACTTGTTGGAAACCTGCTTTAATGTGGAGGATATCTGAAACTCTTCAGGTTCTCTAAAACCCACGGTTCTGTATACATCTGTAATATGGTTAGAAAACAAGTGTAGGCGACAGTCCAAAATTTCCAAATAACTGCGTTCTCAACAAAAAAAGCAGCAAAACTGCTATGGGAGTAGTGCATATTTAACACATGTTTAAAGCCACATGTTACTTTAGTGACACCACAGAATCACAATACTATTACAATTTGTACTCTGTGGTTTATAATTGCTGTTATTCATTCTAAGCCTTTAAGGAAACAAGAGTTAAGTTTAAACAAATAAATTGGATTTGTTAAGAGTACCGTCCAAGATTAATCTTTCCAAGGATAAAAGCTCACCTCAGCTACATTAATTTCTGCACTAAATACCTCCAGATAATAGAAAGACTTGAAATAAAGGCTGCATGGTTAATCCTATCAATGTGAGATATGAAAAGTAGGTAATGTTTGTCACTGTTTTTGAGCTGAAGAAATCTTCATTTTTATTGACATCTGAATTCAAACAAGCACTGTGTATCAGACTGTTAAGAACACTCCCTTAATGATATTATTATTAATAAAAATGGACTTTCAGTACTCAAGACACCCTCCAACCAAAGAAAAGAGAGGAGCTATGAGAATCTTCTCAATCTGAGTTTTAGTTAATGAAAATTCATTTGTGTAAAAAAATATGTTTATTCCTGCACACAAAATTGCATTTAGCACAAAAAAAATCTTTCAACATAGTTTCTGATGCAAGAAAATGGCTTTTTGTGCACAGGAAAAAATTTTGCACAAATGAATCTTCTGAAAAGATGTGCAAGTAGTGATTGAAAAAGCACAGAAGCTCTTGTATTCTTGGGCAGCAGGAAAAACATTGCTGAAATTGGGTTGCTGTGAGTTTTCCAGGTTGTACGGCCATGTTCCAAAAACATTATCTCCTGACGTTTCACCCACATCTATGGCAGCCTCGCAACCCTCTGATGATGCCTGCTATAGATGTGGATGAAATGTCAGGAGAGAATGCTTCTGGAACATGGCCATTCAGCCCAGAAAACGCACAGTTATGCAATGTTTCCGGCCATGAAAGCTGTCAACAACACATTGCTGAAATTATACATTCTTATATGTGAGAACAAAATAAGAAAAGATTTGCATCCCTTTCCTTAAGTCCCATGAAAGTCCTATAGCCCAGTGTTTGTTTGTTTTTTAAAAAAATCTACATTTAATAAGGACAATACTAGCTGAAGGTATGTTAAGTGCCATCATAAGCCTAAACTGCTCAAATAAATAAGAACAGTGTGATGGGCATACAAAACCTGTTATGTTACAGGTGTAGCAGGTTCCACCACATTTAATGCTAATACCTTTTGAACCCCTTGGCACAAGGCTGTTTACAAGTCAAAACAAGTAGAAAGAACAATGCAAATTGTAATTGCATATGTTTAATGCTATGGGAGAACTGCAATAAACAGAGGGAAATTCAGAAGCAGTTGTTCTGAATGTTTGCCTGAGGATATTTGGAGGACAGATCAATTTGGAGGCAGGGAATCGAGATATAGCCCATATGCATAGATGTTTTAATTTATTCTCTTCCAAAGATTCCAACCAAAATCTATTTACACATTAAGTGGTCATTCAACCTTGGAGGAAAACCTTTTTTTGGCACAAAAGGAAATGGTTTTCATGTTATATTTTGCCAGCAGTGCAAATGTACACATATACCAACAGCATCAGAAAATGTTAAATCAGTCTTGGAAAGACCCATGAAGCATGCCATATCTTCTTTGGAGACATGGAGACAAATTTTGGGCAAACAGACAATGTAGAGTGACTTGGAGGAATCATAACATGTCTGAAATGAAATTTTGCCACCTGTATGTCCACCTGAACATCACAGCAGCAATAATCTGCTGTGATTTCATGCCTGCTTCCAAACCTCTTGTGTACTTTAAGATAGGAGAAAAGTCTGTGGAACTGTTATCTAACCACGGGAACAGATACCAGTGATTTAGCCAATCACAACAAAATGGCTCAGAAACATGGGATTGAATTTATAAGCAGAAGAAACTTCACATTGCAGATCCTCTTTCAGCAGTTTTTTTTTAAAAAATATTTTAACAGAAGCCAGCAGTATCAGAGCAAAATAACAGGAGACATTGAGCCCTCCAGCCATCCCCACTGCTGTTCTCCCTTTGATTTCATCACAAGTCCTCTGAAAAGGATAGGAGAGATCAAGTCAACAAACAAGAAAGGAAACCCAGGGAGTTAGATAAAACAGTGTTCACATGGGTCTACATGAGTTCACAGAGCAACCACCACTAACTAAGGTAGGCTCTTCTTTACCAACAAGCTGTTAGAACAGGCACAGGCAAACACTGGCCCTCCAGGTGTTTTGGACTTCAACTCCCACAATTCCTTACAGTCTACTGGCTGTTAGGAATTGTGGTAGTTGAAGTCCAAAACATCTGGAGGGCTGAAGTTTGCCTGCGTCTAGACATTTCTGCTTTTTTAAAAAAGCCCCTTCATGTTACAAACATTGAATTCTGCTGAGATAGAAAGCATGGCTAGGGACTGGAATGAAGTGTTTAGGGACAGATCAAGAAGATGCTTTGAAAAGGGAATGGTCTTACAATCTAGCACATGAATAACTATAAGAATAGCTGTTCTACTCCCAACTGCTGTTTGTATGGACATTTCACAGGAGGCCAGATGTGTGTGCATTTGTCTCCTAGTAAATACATTCCCAGGAATTAGGACTGCCTCTGAATATATCAAAATTATGAACACAGAGAGCTTTGGTTCCTGCCCATCCCAGTTTCCCATCTCAGACATAAATGGTAATGTTATGAATGTTCAACTTGGCCTCTCAGATCCCAGCTGTTTGAAAACATACTGGCACTTGACCAGGGTCAAGAGCAAGCAGCCAAGCAAACCAGAAACTCTTGGAGTAGCGTTAGGCACTTGACACAACAGTCTCTCTGGGACTCTATCAGGATATTAGGATAGCTGATATACTGTTCCCTGCTTCCCTCTTATTCTGTACCCCACAATGTGAATTGAAGCTCAGCTTCACACTGAATTTTTCTGAGAACGAACAATGGCCTTTGGGATAGATGGAAAAACAAACAGGTGAACCGTATAGTCTAAGGTTGGCAGGCAACACCCTAGAATATTTTTGTCTTCTTTGCAATGTGTGAAAGTTTCAAACTTTTATTTAACTGACCTTAATAGAAAGCCAAAATTGGAAAGGGGTTAAGGTCAAGAGGTCCAGGATATGAGTCAGCATTAGTATTCACTTACATTTTCATTAAGGGAAAATTGGATCATTAATCAA